GAAGAACACTGACACTGACATCCCCTAAACTCCGCTGAAGATGTTACCTAGCCTGGTAATGAAATGTTCAGAAACCAACCCACAAGCTCAGAGAATGAACCTTCACTCTCACTTCCTAGGGTCTCTTAGGGTATATATGTTAGGTTAGTATAGATTTAGTCGGCAAGATTCTGTCTATACAGTATATGCAAATAAACAACTGAATGTTGGCTTGATCGTTTCATGTCATTTTTGGGCTAGGCCTGACTGTAATCAACTATAATATAAATAACAAAATATTACCATTAAAAAAAAAGGCCAAGCCTCAAGGAACAATCCAAATACAGGTAAAAACACTTCTGTGGGACAAGACAACTTATTAGTCCTGAAGCCTTTTTGAAAGAACAAAATTTAAAAAAGAACAAAAAAAGAACAAAATATTTCAGAGAAGGAGGGCAGGAAGTAAGAAAAGTATGTTAAAGTTTAGCAATGCTTTATGATTTTTTTCCTTTCTGTAGTGATACTTGTAAGTTTGTGAACCCTTTTGAATTTTCAGAATTTCTGTATAGATATGACCTAAAACATGATTTGTTCTCTACACAAAAGAAAACACAAATAAATAAATGACTCAAAAACATTATACTCTTTCGTTTATTCACTGAAGAAAACAATCCAAAACTACATATTGGTGTGTGACAAAGATAAGTGAACCTTTGCTGGTGTACCCCCCTTTGGCAGCAATAACTGGAAGTAAATGTTTATGATCACTCTTGATCAGTCCTGCACATCAGCTTGGAGGAATATTAACCCAATTTTTCCCACATAAGAACTTCAACTGAAGGATATGGGTGAGCTTCCTTGTATGAACCTTACTTCAGCTCCTTCCATAACATTTTTCTAGGACTTTGACTTAGCTATTCCAAAACTTTAATTTTCTTATGCTTTAGCCACTTTATTCATATGATCTGTGTGTTTTGAATCATTGTCTTGCTTCATAACCCACTTTCCTTGAGCTTCAGTTCATGATCAGATACCCTGACAGTTTCCGGTAGAATATGAATAGTCTGATTCAGAATTTATAGTTCCATCAATGATGGCAAAGTCATCCTAGTCTAGAGGCCACAAAACAGACCCAAATCATGATACTGCTGCTACAATGCTTCACAGATAGGATATGTTGGAATACGATGTTTGCCTTTCACGAAACATAAAGCTCATCATTCAAACTCAAAAGTTCTATTTTGGTCTTACCCATTCATTGAACCTTCTTCCAATAATCTTCTGACACATACAAACAATCTTGCAAACTGTGAAATATTTAGCAAAATATTATTTCTAGAGTGTAGTGGATCCTTGTAACTCTGCCCTGCACACCATTGTTGTTCCTCTGAGGGTGCTCTCATGAACGGTGACAATCACAAGAGTGCCTTTACTTCTTTAAATGTTACCTTGAGGTTCTTTGAAATCTATGAGAGTATTGCACAGTTTGGTCTTTGTGTGATCTTGGCTGCTACTAGGGAAGGTTATCAGTGGTGCTGAATTGCCTTCATTTATATACAATTTGTCTGACATTGGACCTGGTAGAGTCCAAACTATTTGGAAATAGTTTTGTAACCTTTTCTAGTTTAAGTCTAGTGAGCATCAACCATTGTGTTTCTGAAATTCTCAGAAATCTCCTTTGTTCAAAACATGGCACACTTCTACCTACTTGTGTTGCAAAATCAGACTTTGATAGTGAATATCCAGCATTCTGTTTTTTTCCAATAAAACACAACCTTTCACACTCATACCTAATTATCAGCCCATTGATTGAAACCTCTGTAATTTTACCTTTAAATGAATTGATAATTCTAATTCTACACACAAATATGTAGCTTTGAATCATTTTCCTCAATAAATAAATGAACCAGTATAATGTTTTTATTTCCTTTTTAAAATTGAGTTCTCTTTATCTAGTTTTAGGACTTGTATAGAGAAGTCGCATTTTAGATCATATTTATGCAGAAATATTGAACATTCAAAGGGGTTTACAAACTTTTAAGTACCACTGTAACTTGGTAAAAGTTGAGCTTACCCCTTTGCTGTTGAATATTTTTTATCAATTATATAGATAGATGCTTAACAAGTCTGCAGAGAGTACAAAGCTGGGATGTTTGACTAATGATTTTGATGAAAGAGAAGATTCAACAAGATATAAAAAGGCTGAAAGTGGGCTGAGATGAATAGGGTTGAATTTAATAGGGAGTCATACATAATTATGCCTGTGGTTAGGAGAACTATAAGGCACAGGTATAGGATGGTGTGTGTGTGTGTGTGTGTGTGTGTGTGTGTGTGATCTGACTTGTAAGTAACATATGGGAAAGGGATCAGGGTGTTTTTGTCTAATTACAAGTTAAGCATGAGCCAGCTAAAAAAGCAAGTGTTATCTTGGAGAGTGTTAGGAGCATATAATCCAAGTCATGAGAAATCATTATTGCTCTACTCAGTCCTAGTCAGACTCCTTTTGGAGTAAGTCCAGTTCTGTGTACTACAGTTGAAAAATAACAATAGTGACTATTGGAGCAAGTGCAGAGGAAGGCTACAAAGGTACTGGAAATCAAATCCTATGACTGACAGCTGAAGGATCTGGCTATGTTTAGCCAGAAAAAAAAAGAAAGAGCGGACCTACTGTCTGTTATCCTAGAAGTAGAACCAGAAGCAATGGGATAAAACTGCAAGGAAGCAAGTTCAAGCTAGGCCCATGGTGGCAAACCTATGGCATGTGTGCCACAGGTGGCATGCAGGACCCTCTCTGTGGGCATGTGCACCATCACCCCAGCTTGGCTCCGCCATGCATACATGTGCACCTCCCAGTGGCCATCTGGTCTTTGGGTCTCTGCCGTGCATGCATGGGGGGGGGCGGCGGGATGAATATGCAAGGGGTGAATGTAGTGGGCGTGCATATTGCATTTTGGGTATATGTGTGTGTGCACACTTTCAGCACTCGGTGCCGAAAAGGTTTGCCATACTGAGCTAAACATTGGGAGGAGCTTCTGGACTGTACAGGCTGTCACCAGTGGAAAAGTCTGTTACATGACATGGTTCTCCTTCATTAAAGTTCTTGAAACAGTGACTGGGTGGTTATCTGTCATTGATGCACTAGTGGATCCTACACTGATAGTTGGATTGGATAACTTCTATGACTTCTAATGCTTCTTCAAATCAGTTCGCTTTTACTTCATTTAGTATTGCAATTATTTGTTTTGAGCTATTATCAGTTTTCTCCAGCATTAATTACCATTCAGGGATTTCCATTTTTCTTTTCCAACTCTTCTGATGGCCGCAACAGTATGTTGTAACTGGACAAAGCATGATCTTGACAATACATACTTTTCATTGTCAGTTTAATTTCACTGCAGATTACTATAGTGCCTATAATTTACTTGAAACAGAGCTTCAGTTAGCCAACTTGGATAAACCAAACCAAAATATCCTGTTTCTCTTCCCAGCTACCATAAATATCCAAACTACACCCTTTCTGTGGTGGCCAGTGGGAATTTTAAAATTAGGCCCATATGCTCTCGCTTGTGTTCTCCCTCCTAGTATTCAGCTTGATTCCCAGCTGCAGTATCATGGTTCAGATTAGTACAGAACTTTGAAGCCCCATTGATTTTTTTTTCTTTTGCTAATGGCATTTCTGACAATGGTCCTTCAAAACAGGAATTTCATTACATAACAAAATGCTATTGCTTGGTCTCAAGCCTGTGTGCATAATATGATTGTGTTCATAATATGATTGTATTCATAATATGGTTATATCCATTTAGTGTAATCCATAAGCATTTTTAGTGTTTGCTTAAATATATGATATAAATAAATGCTGTGTGGTTTGTTAAATTGCTGTGAAAGAATCAGAGTTATGCATAAGCAACACTATTTATTGGGAACTGTTTGTTTCCCTACCTGACAATATGCTCTCCAATTATGATTATGCTTTCAAATTATGTGTCTGATTTGGTCTTCATCTCATTAAGATTTTAGCCTTTGGGAGATTACAGTCATGCTACCTTATTTTAGATAGAAAAGATATAAAGGAGAGGTTCATAAACCAGTTAGGCCAGAGTATTTGAAATATACAAAACTGAACAGGATTGGAATGATTTAAAATATCAAGCTTAATTTGGTTGACGACAAGAAGAAGAGAACTCCCAAGCTTTGAGCTAAAATAATCCACACAGCTCATTAAAATTAGCATCTGAATTGTAAACCTTTTATACAAAAGGCTGGATGCACAGCAGGTCTCTAGTGTAGTTTTCTGAGAGTTACAATTTGTTAAGCAAAAGCTTCATTAAAATATATGGTACTCTATCACTAGATAAAATCACACATAGTCAATCAGGTGGATCAAAGTAATACAGAGAACTAGTGTGCTTCTGGCAGCCAATTTGCTGTCAGTAGTTAAAAATGGTGGCAGGAAGTTTCTACTTTAAGAATTACAAGTTTCTGGTAATGTAGCCTGATGGTAAAATAGAATTAGTTCATCTAGTCATATTTCCTATCTAGTTTAACTGGGAGAGATGACATCAGTCTTGCAAGTTTCAAAATACAAAGTTCTTTCTGCCAATTTTAACTGCTTGATCCATTAGGGTGGATCCTTCCTAAGTTTCTTTCTCTGACATTAAGCCACTGGAGCCTCCTACCTCTCTTGTCTGATTGTTACCTAGTAAGCAGCATCCGTTCCCCTGGTTCCCAAAGTCATCCATACATTCCATTACATCCAGGTAGTCACCAGGAGTCATCACTCACTCAAAGGCATCCGTAAAAGAGAATGTTTTTCTAAGTTTGACTTTCAAACAGATTCCTATGCCAGTTTGTAATGCCTATTTGATCTTCAACTTGTGTCATGCTACCATACCATGTTGTATTTCCAGCAACTACAGTGTAGTTAAGAACAGCATTATAAATAGTTGTGGTATTTTATTGTATTCTATGGTTGTTTTGGTTTCACTTACATTGTTGTAATATGAAGACATTTGTTGGTCCTGCGCACCTGGTATTTCACAATTACTTATTTACCAAAGCAGCTTATTTAATAAGCAATTGTATTATGGCATCTCTGTAGTCAGCTTCATACTTGAGTTGAGATAAGGATTTGATTCAGCTGTCTTTAAATGTGTATTACCTTTGATGTGCAAAAATCTTAAAGTCCCCCTCCCCCCCCATCAGCCTGTATGGGTTTTTTTTTTGACAGTTTCAAGGGAGATCTGTGGGTGTATGCAAGACAGATAATTTGCTAAAGCAGGTAGAATAATGCTTTATAAAATAGTACACATTTGACAAAAATCCATATGAGATAAAACTTATACCAAAACAAATTGCCACTGATGTATTGCATCTTTCTCCTGTTCCCCTGAATCTATCCACACATTCCTCCTTTCCAAATTGCTTTAGAGTGTCTCCAGAGCAGAGTGGATAGTGGGAAAAATCTCTCTAATGAGGGTTGTTGTTTTGTGACTTAGTCATCATGGTTGAATTTAGCATCTTGGAAATAGACAAGAAAAAACTGTAAATACAAGTTAAGAAAATTCTTTTTTTTTTAAGGCTCTTGAAAAACACAGATAGATTGGTCTTTCAGTATAGGAAGATAACACATTGCTTGTAGACCCTAGACGTATTTCAGTCTTTCAGGATTGGAGGAGAAAACAGTAGTTCCCTGAGAGCTGATCAGTTAGAAAACTAGATAGATTAATGGAATATTGTCTCCTCTAAATACCACTGTAGGTAATATAGAAAGTCATGCTACAATATGGGAGGAAACTTGTCACCCTACAAATTTGCAATCAATATAAAATGAAGGGATGGCTAAATTGTGTGGTTTTAATAAACAACTGGATAAATCTTGAAGGACAGGTTTTTCAAGAGCTAAGTATCTTGAAAACTCCTTACTGCCAGATTGGGGGGGGGAAACTTTCTGGATGAGGTAACTGAGAAATTTCTACATCTTCTAAAGTTATTGACCTTACATGGTATTTTTAAGATCTGCCGTTGGAATCCATTAATAAATGAGGTTGGTAAAGTTGGAATAAGTTATACCAGACATCCCTCAGTCTATAATAAAACATGCCATAGGAATTAATTTATTTCTTTGTATTTGTATTCTTCTGTTCATGGTTGTAACTTAACATATATAAGAATTAAAATGAGAATATAAGAAGATTGTATTCTAAATAATTTTTCTAATAGTTTATTTTTTATTTTTAATAATAAGAAAAAAAGAGAAAGAAACATGTTTGTGAGCAGGGACACTTTGGGAATTTGGGGAGTGTATAGTAAGTGGCTCACAAAATGGCTGCCATGATGATCTTTGTTGGTCACAAAATGCTTGTGCTTTAGGAAGCAAACTACCTTCTCAGGAAGCTCATATAATTTCTCTAAAATCATATGATACTAGAGGATGCCTTATATCACTTCAGCTTCATTTTGGTTTATATTTGTCAAATGAATCCTTTTAAAAGAAGTTGGGCAGGGAGCCTAGGAGGGCATCACGGTAAGTCATGAGATATAGCTACTCCATTTATCATTATTAATAATGAAGCCTGTCATTACATCATGTAGTGTTTTTTTTTTTTTTTAATTATCCCTCTTTCTCCCTTCCCATCCGCCTTCAAATATTAGGCCTTCTCTTAACTCTACAGTTTCTTGAGTGTAGTGAATTTATTTATTTATTCAATTTCTATGATAATAAAGAGGAGATTCTCTGTTTTCTAGAGCGCTAACATGCTATACAATATTTATTATATGTTAAGAAAAATAACAAAAATCTTTGTGTCATAGTTTGGTTCATAACTTAGCTTTCATTAGATCAATGATTTCCTGTGTCTGCATTCAGTGATCTAACTGAAACTTATGCTGAATGATATGCAGCCTGGAATACCACAGTGAGCAAAGTGTAGTGAATAATGCTATTTTTTTCCTTTGCTAGGCTTTTTTTGTTGACCACAATTCACGTACCACCACGTTCATTGACCCACGGCTTCCTTTGCAGAGCAGCAGACCAACTAGTGCTTTGGTTCACCGGCAGCATTTAACAAGGCAGCGCAGTCACAGTGCTGGTGAGGTAAGCTTGAATTGGCCCAAGTGTTTTGGTTTTAATAGATGTTTCACCATTGATCTCTGTCTTTCATTATTGGCATTTTCCATTGTGTTAAAAGCATACATTCACCCACCCACCCTTTTCACAGAATGAACGCCCTCTTATTATAGGAAACATATACAAGGAATTTGCCATGATAAAGTATGGATTATGAACATGAGAAAGTGTTCAGATTTTTGAATGAACTGGGATTTGAACCTGGGCTTTCCACTATTTAACTTAACATGAACCATTACATACCATTAGTTCTCAAAGAAAACATGTTATTTTTTTATAGGATCAATTTTTAAATTGGTATTCACATATCCCCTTGCTACCCTATCTATTTAAGCTCCCCTCAATGGTGGCAAGCCGGTCAGACAAGGCAACAGCCATAAGAGTATCAGCTGAATGATTACACCTGAGGAATAGCATATGAATGCCTTACTCCATCAATACTGATTACACCTTGGTTTGAAGACATCACGTTCTGATCTCTACTTGATTGCTTGTCTCTTTGCTTTTTGGGGAGATGCTGCGAGTGAATGTAGAATTTTGGAGGCAAAGCGTATTTAACCCACCCCAGATGCTGATAATATATTTTATTTATTATCTTGACTTTTGAACACTCCTAGTTTTTCCTTGAGCAATTTTCTACTAAGTCCCAAGTCATCAGCTGTGTAGCGATGAACTATTCTAAGCTGGGTACTTAGAACAAAGTACACAAATGTCAGAATTGCAATTATTATCTATTGCATATGATGGAAGATAAAGAAGACAAGAGCTCCCATTGCTCCTGGGTATATAGCAGGTTGTATCAGGTTGTGACCTGAGTCAGCTGAATTCAGGTTGTGCCAGGTTGGCAAAGGAGTTTGAACTTTGTAATTTTTTTTTTTTTTACAAAACCTCTTTGTCATTTTTCTTTTATACCACCAGGGGGCCTTTGCCTGCATATTTATTCAAAACAACATAAGCAATAGACTATTTAGACCACTTCTGTAAAACAGGTGATAGTAGAAATGAGGCATACATAGAAATTTGACCTGAATTCTTCCCTTGCAATATCAAAAGACAGAATAATCTTAAATAAAAGGTAAAATCTCCATCAAATTAAGTTTGGTGATTTATATGACCATATTTTATGAATTTAATTTACTAGGTAAACTTATGTGTTTGGACTTACCAATTGTCAGGACTCAGATTGTTATGCAAATGTTGCCCCCCCCCCCCAATGTATTATAAATCAGAATGCCAAAGACTTTCTAGTAATCATAAAATAATAGCTGTGCTTAAAGAGGAATGTATGTAGAAACACAAATTAAACAAAAAGCCAACAGTAATCTATGAGTATAAATATATTTGCATTGCGTTTCCCTTTCAAACAAAGTATAATATTTTTCCTCCTTTTAATGTTTATGCCCCATTTTGCCAATATATCAACAGCTATTGAAGAAATTGGTTCATCTGCTTCTTTATAGCACTGAAATCCATTGCATTGAAACAGATTTTATGGAAATAAAGGCAGCTGCAGGGAGATGAAAGATAAAGAGAAGTTCATGTACAGATATGGAAGGAAAATACTGTTGCACAAGTGGAAACTGTTTATGCAGTGTTGCTATTAACCATTACAATCAACCATAAGTTTTTCCTTTCTTAATAAGAATTCTTTGAAACAAAACCTGCAGTTGGTCTTATTTTTCAGCAAGTGATAGAAATCAAGGAATTGGAGTTAACAGGATTTGGATTTCAGCTTCTGGGCATCAACTTCAGAAGGAGCTGTTCTTTTCCATTTCCAGGAAAAAGAGAACTCCACTGAAAAACAGGGAACTTAGAATAGTTCTTCAGTCAATTATAAAACAGGGTTAATTTGAATTTAATCTAATTTGGTGAAACAAAATTTAATAGCTATACTGTCTGTTTGGCAAAGCATTGCTGGCATGTGCGATTCTCACACTGTGAGAAAAGTGAGTGCTGTCAGCACAGAAAACAAATAGTAGTGTGGTTAAAAAAAAAACCAACAACTGTGGAATCTCCAGCAAAGAGACTGACTAATTGGAGCCAGAAAATTGCAGAAGTGAAGCTTGTGTTCAGCAAAGGGAAATTTTGGGTTGTTACTACAAAAAGAAGTGACGTTCATAGATGATTCGCTTAGGCTTTCTATGTGCATCCCAAATACTTTTGTTGCATTAACCATTAACATTCACTACATTTAGTGAAATTTATACTCAGGAATTATTGGCAATTCCTTATGCATTTCGTAAGCTGTGTTACCTACAATGAAAGATTGCAATGTTTCATTTAATCACCCCAAACCTTCAAACACAGCAGTGATGACTTTATGTCCTTACTTAAAGGCAGGTTAATCTTAGAGCCTTTCACAGGGTTAAGGTTATTTTCACAGGAATGAAATATGAGATTTCATACTAGCCACACTGAGATTTGGCAAATAAAATAATACAGTAACCCTCAGCTCAATTTTATCCAGTATTGTCCACAGGAAATTTACAATCTTAGAACTCTTGGACGGGCTGAAACCTTTCTCTCCATGCCTTAGTCCTCCTCTCTTTTATTGGTTTATATTTGCGTCTCAAAGTAAACTCACTCTGGTGCTTTTAGATGCTGGAATATTTTAAAGGACTTCTTCCTATCTGGCAGTGGTGGCATGATGGCTCACTAGTTAAGATGCTGGACTTGTTGGCTGGAAAGCTGACAGCCCAGGCTCGAGACCCAAGCGCTGTGCAGATGAGAGCTTCTGTTCTCGCTTCAGCTCCTGCCAATCTAGCAATTCAAAAGCATGCAAATGCAAGTAGATAAATAGGTATTACTTTGGCAGGAAGGTAACAACACTCCGCGACATAGTGCAGGCTACATGGCTATAGAAATGGACAGTGCTGGCTCAACGACCTGGAAATAGAGATTAGCACCTTCCCTGTTGAGAACTGTGCAGTGGAAGTGGTGGACAAGCATGTGTGCCTGTGCACAGCTCCACTTGTGCCTGCCATTTGTGCAAAAGGAGTTGTACCGCTACCCTGTATTCAGTAATGACTAGCAGAGTAAATCCTCAGGAATTTCTTTACCTTTATCTTCCTATTCAGTTCCTGTGCATGTTCTTATGATTGCTAGTACTTCATAAATATATTTAAAAATACAATTATTCTTCTTGCTATCATTATGTCATAAAAAATCTAAATTTTGTGGAACTCTAAACTATACTTCCTGATTTGTATTTATTGAATGAACTCATCAGTAACATTTTTATTTTTTATTTTTATGTTTTAAATTTATTGATTGTCCATCTTACTATAGGGTAACTCTGGGCAGTTTACAGTTACATATACAGTTAAAAACATTAAAATACATTGGTAATTAGTAGCATCATAACGTGGAAAAGCTACATTGTTCTTGAGAATAGAAATATTAAGACTACAGATTTACCTAATTTCTTTGATTTGTACATCTATTTTTCTCTGGTTGTTTGTCTGAAAATGATTTGAATTTTAACCAGTACCTCCTAGTTTACATGAAATTATCAGCTTTTTACATGTGAAAAATGGGGGGAAAAGGTTGGGGTTTCTCTTCTAGATATGGTGGAAATTCAGCTGAGAAAAGAGAGGAGGTCTTCTCAGATTGAGAAACCCCTTGCTTAACAGAAATCATTGGGATTCATTTTTGTTTTCTGCCATCTATTAAAACCTTTTCTTTTGTCAAACATTCACTTTGCTTAGTAAATAAAAGAATTGTCATGTCACAATTCTCACTGTATATCTCCCTATTTTCCTCAATTTCACCATATCCTAGTTTTACCATTCTCCCAACAAAGCATTCAGATTTACACACACGGTCCGTTTTATTGGAAGACAGTGGGTTTAGCTGCATGTCGAGCTGCACACAGACTAACATGTAGTGGGGACAGAACAATGCTCGATAACATTTTAAGGAAGGACAGGGAAAAAATTCTCAAATAAATAGTATATAAAATATATAGGATGGTAAGAAGGACTTCTGTACACTAAAATATCTTTGGTTTTATTTTTCAGGTGGGAGAAGACTCACGCCATTCAGGACCTCCAGTCTTGCCAAGGCCGTCAAGTACATTCAGTGCAGTCAGCAGGGCTCAATACCAGGACATGGTGCCAGTAGGTATGTCTTCATTTTAGAGCCTCTTGAAATGCAGTCTTTGCTTTTTATGTTATTGTGTCAAAGCATAGGGCTATTGTTTTTGCAAGGACTCTTGTATTGCCTAAAAAGAAAACATTTAAATGCTTCCTAACAATAAAAATAATAACTAGATATAAATACAGGCAGTCCCCAGGTTAAGAATCTTTTATTAATGGACAACTCGAACTTACAAATGGGGTGCCTATTAATTTTGTGTTAAAAGCAGATTTAGGAGCGATACTCGTTTTTAACCTGGGGCTGGCTATACATGTTCAACATGCATCACTAGGGTTTTTTTAGACTTCAGATGAAATATTTCCAGGTTCATGTTTGCCTGGGGGGAAACACTAGGTATCAAATATCATAATGCGAATAATAAATCTAAAAAAGGGTATTCTTGTAATAAAACTGAAACTTAGGAGTCTCTTGCTGGTGACCATAATTGAAGCATTTTATTGGCTTGTTTTCCCCGTTATTACTTCTTAGTTTCCACACAAACCCTATGCCATATGCTTCCCAGTTGCCAGATATCCAGAATTTTGCAGGACATCCAAACACAAACCAATTTTTGCCATTAGTTGGGCATTTTAAAGTGAGATAACTAACATTTCCACTTCTTAAGCTCTATATAGAAGCCCTTGGCTTAGACAAAGGTATGGAGGTTTGGTTAATCAAGGTGATAATTTGGAGCCATACAATGGAGAAGAGATTCCTGAAAGGTGAAAGACCTTCATAATTATTTTTAATGGGATAAAAAAATGAAATAAGACTCTAATATGAACACACTTATTTTGCACAATAAAAAAACTTGTGAGTAGCCTATTTTTTAAACCAGGTATTTTGATCAATTCTGTAAGTAGGCAACTCAGGATACAGTTGTTTGATAAAACCATTTTTTTAAGAAAAAGAAAAGCTGGTTATTTCAAATACATAGAATTATTAGTGATGGGTCAATATGAAAAGCAGTTTAGGCTTTTATTTTGAACCCCTTTGACCCATTTACAGGTAGTCCTCGACTTACAACAGTTCATTTAGTAACTGTTCAAAGTTGCAACATCACTGAAAAAAGTGACATGACCATTTTTCACACTTACGACTGTTGTAGCACCCCCATAGTCAAGTGATCAAAATTCGGACAGTTGGCAAATGACTTACATTTATGATGATTGCAGTGCCCCAGGATCATACGCTCACCTTTTGCGACTTTCTGACAAGCAAAGTCAATAGGCAAGCCAGATTCACTTAACAGCCGTGTGACTAACTTAATGACTGCAATGATTGACAACAACTGTGTCAAGAAAGGTCATAAAATGAGACAAAACTCACTTAACAAGTGTCTCGCTTAGCAGCATATATTTTGGGCTCAATTGTGGTTGTAAGTCAAGGACTATCTGTGGGAATGCATCCTCTAAGGCACGCATATCAACTTGATCGCATCAGAGGCCGGATCGTGACGTATTGCAACGTTTATGCCTTTGTGGAGGGGAGTGGGTGTGGCCTGCACATGACGTATCCAGCTCATGGGTCACCAGTTTGACAGGCCTGCTCTAAGGGGTAAGCGGATGCAAATATGGATTTAGTAAACTTTAGCAAAATATTTCCCTGAAATGTTTTTCTCCTGAATTATCAGAGACTGATAGTCTACATTGTATCTAACTTAAAAGGAAGTAAATCTTCTACTCTTCTCTTACACGTAATATTTAGCAAGGCAGGACACTGGCTTTACATATCTGAGCTATAAGTTTCTCTGCCACTAGACCACTTCATGAGTTTTTGCTTGTGTTAATAGGGAAGTTCATACTGCGATTATGTCATTGTGCCCTTTTTTTCAATATTATGAAGAAAGGGGAACAGGAAAAGAAGTCAGTGCTTTTGACAATAATTTAGCAAGCGGTTATGACTAGTGATTCTTATTTCTGTTCAGAGTTGTCCCATCCTAGCAGCAACTGATCATTCTTTGTATGCCACAATACTCATTTTAAAGGAGACCCAGGTTGGTGTAGTGGTTAAAGCACCACAGGTTAGAAACTGGAAGACTCTGAGTTTTAGTTCTGCTTGAGGCACAAAGCCAGCTAGGTTACCTTGGGCCAGTCATTCCCTCTCAACCCTGGGAAGCAGGCAATGGCAGGACACTCTGTTAAGAAGACAGCAGGGATTTAATCCAGGCAGTTGCCTGGAGTCAGCAATGACTTAAAGAGACAACAAAGCAAAGCAAAGCAAACCAAATCCCACTGAAGTGATCAATCACACAGTTGTAGAGTATTGGGGCTGCTCCAAAGGAATCCTAGATGGGTACAATTCTCTTCTCAGTGTAGCAGTACTGTAATCCAAATTAAAGCATCTCCAATAAAGGCTATCCAATTTCCTCGACGACATCTGGTGGGGGAGAACTCAGCATCTCTGTAGATAACTGATTTCACTAACAGAATTTTTGGAATTGATACCTGGGTTTGAACAAAGCTCTGTATCTACCTCTTCATTCCAATGAGTTTAGAGGACGTACCTTGCTTTAAAATATGAATATTCAAAACAAAACAAAACATAAGCATGCAAATATATTACAAATAGTCACTGGTATTTGCTTGATGTGTTAATTAACAGATGCATATATTTCATTTCTCAATATTACTTTAATTGCTAAATTAGAGAATTTTGCAGTAATAATTGAAATGTTATAAATACGTTATTATACATGTTTTATTTGAAAAACTACTTAAAAAAGGTTTCTTATTTTTCATACAGTCAGTACAATACCATTTATTTAACTATTTGTTTTCAATGAGCTGAGTTACTTTGGCAACTGTTTGTATATTTGATGCTTCCTTACACATGACAAAATCTATTGGCTTCAGGACTGGTGATTCATGGCTTTCAAGTACAGAAGTTAATTCATTGAGTTCAGCAGCTGTCACATTGTGGGAAGACACCCACAGCTAATTACTCTGATGGAATGGCTAGATGTTTGTTCAGCAGCACTGGTTTCTTGACAATCACTACTGATTTAAACTTCTGTTGCTGCCTATTTTTTTAGTGCTGCATATGGCAATGCTTGCAATAGGCTACTCTGTTTAAAATTCAAGGCCTTTTCATCAGAATAATGTTTAGAACTTGTAATCTAATTTGCAATATTTATTCCTGGCTTTAATATTTTTATTACTGGCTTTAAGGGGAAAAGAATGGTTTGTCACAAACCATGATCATGTGATGTCTTGCTTAAAAACCATAGGTGATTTGCCACAACTGGGATTGCCAGGAACACTGTAACTAAGCAGGGTAGTTATGTGATGTTTCACTAAATGACTGCTTTTCTCAATGACAGTATTACTGGTCCCAATTAGTGACATTAAGCAAGGACTATCTGTACTTGAAAAGCTACTATCCTAGAAGATTTAAATAACTTCAGAATTATATTGATGGGATTAACAAAATGGCTGAAAAATAATAAAATTTAAAATTTAAGAAACTCAAATATAAACTTTGGAAAAAGAAAGCAAACCAAATAAATATGTAGACCCCATTGATTCTGCACTGATTGACAAATTAGAATGCTGTTCTAATTTAGCAGGCAATGAACATAATGAGAGTTGGAAACTAATGAAACTAATTCTACTGTGAGTCAAATTCAGGGAATTGGTTATATTTAGTTTTGAGAAGATACATTTTTATAGAGAATGCAATGGCACCCTATAAGTACTTTAAATTTTGTCACACAAAAAAGTCATAATTTGTTCTCTGTCATTCCAGTTTGTAGGACACCGAATAATGGTTTTTAAGTTATATTAAAATATATTCCAGATAAACATATTTTTTTTTCATTTTGACTTTTTAATTGCCAGAAAGGCAGCTCAGGCTGTGAAAGGACTATTCTTTCCTTCATACTGAGTTAAAAAAATAGGTGGCATATAAGGTACCTTGTAAAAGGTGGTGGCTCCCCCAAACAGGGATAGGACCAAAATATGAAGACCTAGAGGGAATCTAAGGGCTGGGATCTCCAGAGGTTTTCAGTACCACTGCAGCATAACAGGTGAGCAAGCCCAAGAAAAAATACATTAGCTGAACATGTTTTGATAGGCACCACATAAATAACCATATACATTTTGAATGCCTCTTTTCATCCTTAAATAAAGATCCTTTCTTCTGGAAAAACATCAATTTCTAAAGGCTAAAACTTGTATCTGTTTCCTGAAGAAAAATGATTATTGTTTTTAAGCAGAGATTTTCAACATGAATTCTTTATTGAATTTCCAGCTTACAATGACAAAATTGTTGCATTTCTGCGGCAACCCAATATCTTTGAAATTCTCCAAGAGCGACAGCCAGATCTCATAAGGAATCATTCACTCAGGTGGGCAGAATAATGACATTTTTTTCTTACCAGAGATGTTTTGATTTTAAAGCATAAGCAAAATATAAGAAGTTCACTTTCTCCTTAAAAAAATTAGTGCAGTATGGGGTGAGGGGACGGGACTCAATAACCTATAAGAATTCGTAAAAGTAATGGAGACTCCTGTGAGACTCTCACAATTAACAAATTTGCATAGTATATATTTATTTGTTAACTAGAGCCCACTTCATGAATTCTTTTCTGCTCCACAAATGCTTCAAAATCATACATTGGTTATTCTTTAAGGTGCCACAAACTCTTCCGGTTTTTGTTATAATTGATTAATAGAGTTTATATCTGTATTTTCTTTACTTTAAAAATTGCTACAGCTCTTGGACTAGGTAAAACATCCAAAAGGATATGTCTGAAGGTTGTTACTTTTATAGATGAAAACTGCTGCTATTTGGTAGACACAGAAACCGGAATGACTAATATAATTTTGCAGAATATATCTTTGTGACTTTTAGATCATACTCTTTTAGGAAACTAATAGGATTCTCGTTGGTAGGATGAGGAGAATCCATGTATATATTTTCAATGGTTCACTTTTAGAACAACAATGTCTTTCTCTAGAGCTTGTGCTACTCCTTGGAATTTATTCAGGGAATATTTAGCATGACCATGAATTAATTATTTTCATCAGTAAGGTACTTGAAACAGTTTGAATAGAAAAGTTAGGCCAAGAGAAAATAACAGTATTTAGAAAGTATTAATGAGCTGTGGTGGCGAAGTAGTTAGAATGCAGTAGCATAGGCTACTTCTGTTGCTAGCTGGCTGCCAACAGTTTGGCAGTTCAATTTTCACCAGCTCAAGGTTGACTCAACTTTCCATCCTTCTGAGGTAAAATGAGGACCCAGATTGTTGGGGACAATATGCTGATTCTGTAAACTGCTTAGAGAGGGCTGTAAAGCAGTATATGTCTAAGTGCTATTGCTATAGCTATTAATGAGGGCCACTGGTGTTAATAGAGGGGAGCTTGCTGAAGAATTCTATTTTGGGGGCATGGTATAATGAAAAATAATGTGCCTAAAATAATTTAGAGGCCTGTTTGATATGTTGCAGTGGTTTTACTTACTGCCTTGACATACATTAGTACTTGATACAAACAGGGAGAAGATCCAGTTCATTCGGACTGAAGGAACACCAGGGCTAGTGCGGTTATCCAGTGATGCAGATCTTGTTATGTTATTAAGGTAATGGATTCTTACTGCAGACTGAGTATCTGTGATACATTTACTTTAGCAAATTTTTACACTTTGATAATTGTCATGGGTCCATTTGATCAAATCTTAGTTTTTCCTTTCATGCATAATTATGGGATTTTGTGGTATGTTTTTTTAAAAAAGAGCATTTCTATACTTGTACAGTTCTTATCATCAGAGGGCTCAAATAGAATTTATTCCCAATTCCCTAAGATGTTACTGTCATTTCTGTCGTCCATGGATTTTTCCCAGAATAATGCTTTAGAGCAGTGGTCACCAACCAGTGGGCCAGGGACCACTGGTGTTCCATGAGAAAATTTTGGTAGTTTGCAGAAAAATGTCACCTCCAAAGTACCCCCCACAAAGCAATTAGTCCAGGTTGCGCAGGAACATAAGGCTGCGCTGCCCACATGGCCCGCAGGCCAACACAAGGCTTGCATAACTTGGCATTGCAAACAACACAAAGTAGTGAGGGGAGGGGGGATAGAGGGAGGGGGAGCTTGCTCCACTCAACCCACGCGTCTGGCCTGGCCCACTGGGCTGCTTTTTTCTGCTTCTTTCTTTTTCTGCTTTTGGCTGCATGCAAGGAAAGCAGCAAAAGTCTTTATTTCTCTCCCCCAAACTCCGCCAGAAATGAGCCTTTGGGACCCTGCAAGGCATCCTGCTCCAAGAGGCTGCACTGGTGTGAAAGTCTCACAAAGACTCATTTCTGGCAGAGTTGGGGGGAGAGAAAGAAAGACTTCTGTTGCTTTCCTTGCATGAAGCCAAAAGTCTCTCTCTCTCTCCCTCCCTCTCTCTCGCTCTCCTTGTCTCTCTCCCCCTGAGAACAGAGCTGGAGACGGTATCCTGCAATCCCAAATAAAGAATGATCGATTGGTAGTAAAATGGGGTGGGGGATTTTCCTGCAGACTTTTTTGGAGATTTTCCCAGGGTCTCTGCTGCTTTCTGCAGAGACCCTGGGAAAACGTCAGCAAGCCACCATCAGTCAAAATTCATATTAGTGGTCTGCGGGATTTAAAACTGAGTTTGGTGGTCCCTGAGGTCCAAAAGTTTGGCGACTCCTGCTTTAGAGGAGCCTCCCCCCATCCCTTCCATCACTCTGTGTAGTATACAGTATTATCAACTGGAGTATTACATTGCTGGTCTACATATTTTTCTGCCCTGCAGCTCTCCTGTGTGTGTTTTAACTTGTAGCATATTGTTATTATTTATAATTTGTGCTTTTAAAAAAGGAGAGGAGTGATGTGTAGATGCTGTTTTGAGCAACAGGGACCTTTTGTCCCTTGAATATTAATTGGAGCCAAGCTGGAGCATATCCAAGCACACTTGCTCATTCATAACTCTCAGGGTCTTAGACTTACTCTGCCATGAAAACACACCCACTGTGTAATGTTGCCTCTGATATATTGTGGGGGTGCCCTTGCAGAACTTCATGCTATAACACAGTGTGTTGCTTGTATTCAAGCTCTTGCATAATACTGTTCTTTAGGTTTTTTTTTTCTGTGTTCATTTCAAACAAGACATTTGCTTTGTTTTGAAAGTTATTCTTTTTATAGCAATTCTGGGAATATTCATCTGTCAGGAAACACATTCCTCAATGGACCTGTCATTTTTATGGCTATGAAGGACGACTATGTCAGAAGCATTAATTATACTATTTTAACATACTATCTTGAAGGCTTATGAATAATATATATTACCAAGATAAACCAGGGCTGATTTGATAGATCGCTCAAAGTGTTTTACATCTTTAAAAAAATATTATGATTAACATTTTTTAAAATATCAATTCCTTCCGGACTTTTGCAGTGTTATTTCTATGTGTATTCACAAATGGAGAAAATATATTCTCCCCTACTTCATTAACTATTTTCCTTCAGGTTAAATTGTATAACGATTTGTCTCATAGAAAGAAGGCAATGCCTCTCAAAGTTTTTTGTTTACATTCTATCATAATAGCCCATTGTTTTTATTAACATTAAACAAAGTGACAATCTGGGAACCTGTGAGAACTCTATACACGACACATTTCCACTGGCCAAAAAAAGCAGTGTGGTGGTTTTCATTGTTTCCTTTCTTTTCAGCAACCTTATGCTCTCCCATCTGCTCCAAAATGTTTTGAAATCTCTACTGTAAGATTATAGCTCCAGTTCAGGGCACTCTTGGGGAGAAGTGGACAAAATAGTTTTCTCCCAACAGATACCTCAGCTGGATCAAAGACTTTCTGTGAATGAGAATGGCCTTCCATTCAAAGCAGGGTAATTTAGCATCCAAGCAACAAAGTCTGAATGCCATATTTCACATTAGAAATGCAACTGAAGTAAAGCTTTTGGAAAATCTTGCAAGATAGAAACTGTTCCATTGGAATGTTCAGTTCTAGTGGAAAACATTTGCAGTAAGCGATCAAAGGAACTTAGCAAAAGAGTGGGGGAAACTTGTGCTACATACAAAGTAAGAGAGAGCCTTGTTTTTTAGGACTGGATTATTTTTTCCTCACCTTCACCCTCCCTTAAGAAGACATATGGAAGACATTTAGTGGGCTGAAAGCTACATGCATTTAGCACAGAAGAGGAAAGATACATAAAACATTGCTTGTGGGTTCCATATGTAAAAAAATGGCGTAATGTAATTTTATTTACTTCCTAATGAGTGTGTATACTGCTCATTTTAACAGCTGCAAATGAGTTATCAGTGTATAAATGTAACATAACATTCTACAAATCTTAAAAATTATAAAACATTAAAATTAAATCTTGAAATGAATTCTTAAAAAGCCTAGAGAAAAAGGTATATTTAAAGAAGTCTCCTTTACCTAAAAAATAATGAGGAGCAACTTATTTTACAATTCTGCACAAAAAGCAGAATTAGCTGTTGGTTTTACATATTTCTGGTGGGACATACAGAAGTATTCTTTGTGTGTGTGATCTGAGTGGCAAAGCATGAATGCTTTAGGTCAGTCATTCACATTGCATGTAGCTATAGACAGCGGTGACCTGGTAGCACTTTAAATCAAATAAAAAGATTTCTAGTGGAACACCTAGAACAGGGAATTTACCTTAAATCTTTATTTTTTTCACTTGTAGCTTTTGACATTTTCAGATGCAAATGTGCAGTCTTTCTAAGAACTCAATATGGTGTTGTTTGGTGTATATAGGAATATATAATATTCCTACAAAATATCACATGTGGCATAGTCAAATCAATTTGCATACCTGCTTTATTTTTGCTTATTTTCTGCCTAGTTTATTTGAAGAGGAAATTATGTCATATGTACCACCACATGCCTTACTTCATCCCAGTTATTGTCAGTCACCACGTGGGTCCCCTGTGTCCTCTCCTCAGAACTCTCCAGGTGAGCTCTATCGCAACTGCTTGCAGTGTTTTTAGACGGTGAACCAGTTAAGGTTTGTTCTCGCTGGTTTCACGGCCTTCCTTATGAAATGTAGGAGATGAATGTTTTGATCTTAAGATTAAATGAATTCTTTGCTGTTTACTTCAGACATTTACGTAACATTTCTCAGAAAAATGGTTTTGAAGAACGAAGAAAACATATTCTATATTGTGGAAGTAGCAGTTTTCTGCCACTAATATTAAAAAAAATTAAGGGAAAAACTTAATATTAATTATTTTTAGATCTCTCTTGTACACAGAAGAATGTAAACAATGACTGGGGTATCTTCCATCAGTTGAATACGATATCCTGGATAAGGACAATCCAAAAGAACACATTGAGGCATAAATTAATTAAACTATTAGGCTTTGTAAAATGTATTTTGACATTCTATCTGATGCATATGTATATATACATGTCGACTCTTAAGGATGGTTTCTTAGGCATCTTTTCCTAAGGATGCTGTATTAGCAAATCTTTATACAGTAAGAAAGCACTAAAATATGGAATAGAATTCATTCATTTTTAAATATTTATGTGCCCATGCTTTTGCTGGAAATATTAATAATACTAATTTTAATAAACAGTTTTCAGTCTAACATAATTTCTTGAATGAATATATATTAACCTGATAAGGATCATTTTATTAAAAATTTGATAATTTATATTGTAGCTTTTATGCAGGTTAAAACAATTTGTATTATTTTTCTGTGGGGGAAACTCAGCACCTTCTGTTAATTACTTATGATTTATTACATATTTTAATATGAATGATTAATCTCTTAATTCACTTCATAAAGGAAAGAAGTTCATCACAGAGCTCTTTTCACAGTCAAACAGTTTAATGCTCCAATTTAGATTACACAAATAACCATAAAATTACTTGATTATTTATAAAATGCTAACTTATCAGCATGCAAAAGCATGTGCATGCAGTACTTACAATGAGAGAAAGAGAGACATATATAATATGGGTAATTTATTTTAATAACAGCTCCATTCTTTTGTTATTCTTACGATGGAAATAATTGCTTTAATTGCCCAGGAAATTCTTGACAGTGCCAGCTGATTTGTCGTAAGAACTTATCATGTGCTGAAAAGATAATTTAGGAGTATTTCATCTAATGTAAAATGAATGTTCCCAAGTCAGTTCTCAAACTAAGAATTTAAATAGGTCCTGAATAATGCCAATAAAAGTAAACAATTAAAAAAAGATAGTTGCAGTCATTCTACAAAGTAGCAAATGTATGTTATAAATGCATTTCTCAAAAGAATTTCAGTTTTATGGAGGTTGAGTTCATGAGAAAAAGGAGTTACCTCTCCTTGTCTACTGGTTTGAAGGAGATGAGAGAGCTGAGTACCTTTGGAATAAAAACGAAGAGAAAAAGAGGGATGAGTTGCTTAGTCAAGCAGGAGTCCTTATTTTGAGGAAGGCCATATACTTGGGGAGATTAGCAAATTAAAAGAAAACAAAATCAAGCATTCACCTCAGGGTTTGGGAAATCATCAATAAAATGTAAAATAGAAAGAATGAAAGGGGAAATCTGCTTTCTCTTTTCCTTTCTGGATAAGGAAAAGACAAAAAAATAAATTTCTTTAGCATAATAATCAAGACAGAATCTCTCAATTATTAGCATAACCAAAAGGCTTTATTTTAAGTGACCGGATTTGGCAACATCCGCAGGATCTGATAATCTTGTATAATGGATATTCTGATATAGTGTACAAGGTAACTCATTTAGTCCAACACCTTGCTCAGTGCACTCTGTTAAGCCATAAAGAAGAAGAAAGAAATTAGGTTAGTTTGACATAACTTTTTATGTCAAATTCCTGGTCAAACAAACAATGTCCCCAAATTAGTTTCTTTCTTTCACATTCAACCTCTGAAGGTGATACTTTCTTCAATATAAGACAAATGTAAGAATTTTGAGTCCCTGTATGTTTATGTATAGATGTACAATCGGATATCATTTGTTTCTTTATTCATTTATTAATCACATTTATTAATTACAGCAGTATATAAAAATACAACAAAATATAAAAATGAAGAACTATCAAATGTTTAAAATATATAAACCACACATAGAGAGTAAAAATATCAATCACAATGAAGCTATTTAAGAATGCCTCCAGTTTCCTGGGACACCCTCCCCCCAGGTTTGGTGACATACTTGGGTTCTGAGAGACTTTCAAAATGATATTTTTGGAACTAATCTGACTTTGGAGGGTGGTGGTGAACGATATCAAGTACAAAAGAAAGTCTGTGGGCAATATCAACTCCAACCAAGTAATACATTCTGAAATGAATCAATAGCTGTTTTTGTGATGGATTCATTACTTGATCAGCCTGGTCAACTCCTAATACTGCTGCAGTTCTGAATTCTTCTCTTCTAAGTAGCTTTTGCTATGGGGGAAAATGAGAAAGAAGCATCAATTAAATCCTTGAGGATATACATTGTAGAATTCCGTAGCTGACTGGTTAATGACCTTTCTTCTGGCAGGAACAAAGATTGATAATGAAATTATATTTGCTTACTTCCCTGATTGTCAAAATGACATCACTGATGTTGATATCATACTGCTAACTCTGCTATTGTTACCAAGATGCAGCAATTAACAGCACAAATGAGTAGGTGTGGAAAGGATGTATGCACACTTTTGATAGCTATGCAGCTTGTTTGGAAATGTCAGTCTTGGGTCACCTAAATGTTGTTTATTCCCAACTACTTCCAAAAGGAATCTGAAGGCAACCCATTTTTCGGCCAAACTGGGGTCCCTTGCCAGCCAACCAGACCTATCTGCTTACCTTTTAGTGCATAAGGGTACCAGCTTCACTATAAGAATAAGCTGCCTGCTGCCACCAGCATCTTGATTCTTCTGGCTTTCCCAAAGTATTGAGGTTACCAAATGTTGAGCCCAGTTAGGGGTACAGTTTAGGGAGGATGGTGGAAAATCAGGTAATTATGCACATACAGTAGCATCCTTTGAAACACAATTATAATTGTGCAATAATCACGAGATGTAACTGGCTAGAAATGCAGTTTTTCACAGGAGACTGCACGTGTACTATTATGTGTCATTAAGTAAGGTAAGCAAACCAGATGTCATATGGAATATCTTACTGCCACAATTATATATCATATATCAACAGAGCCACAATGCCGCAGTGGTTAGAACGCAGTACTGCAGGGTACTTCTGTTGAATGCCGGCTGCCTGTAATTTGGCAGTTCGAATCTCATCAGGCTCAAGATTGACTCAGACTTCCATCCTTCTGAGGTTGGTAAAATGAGGACCCAGATTTTTGGGGGCAATATGCTGACTCTGTAAAACCATTTAGAGAGGGCTGTAAAGCACTGTGAAGTGGTATATAAGTCTAAGTGCTTACTGCTATTGTTATTATATCAACTAAATTACCTGTTGTAATGACAAGGCAGTCGAGGTGTTTGATCATGATCAACTGATTCATGATGAACTTTATTGGAATCTAGTCTTGCATTTATACACATTTTTAGTTATCCTCCAACATTGGTTAACTTTGGTTTCTGCTTGATTTTCATTATTGTTCAGCATAGTAACTAACACAATTAATGATCTCTAGTCAAAGTCCAACATATGTTTACTTCCTCTCTCTAATCCTCCTTTACATTAATGACTTTGTTTGCCTGAGTTGTATTTGCTTGGAAACATTCTTTTCTCTGAGGTTTGCCATCCAAGATAAAGACATTCCTGCAATTACAACTCTACAATGACCCTTGTCATTCTCTTCAAATAAAAGTGCAGGTTGTGTCTGCTTGGGGTATCCCTATATGTTTAAGCAAGCTGTCTACAACCTAGGGACTGATACACCTAGAATAGTGTTCTTTACCTGGTATTTCCAGGTATATTGGGACTGAAACTACCCAAATTCCTCAGCCAGCCATGGAGAATTGTTCTTAGTTACAGTCCCAATCTACCTAGAAAAGTCTTTTAAAGATCTTTAGGAATGTTTATACCCTTAAGAGATGCTTAGACAATACCCATTATATTTGGGAAAATATGATTGTCCCTTTGTTTTTATATTTACTGTATGCTACCCATAGAATTGTCTGTCGTGGGGCATCATGCATGCATTTTAGTTAACGCATTCAAAAGTGCACATGGAATTAATCTCTTTATGTATATCTTTCATCATAAATTATTGCAAATTTGAGTGTGTTGCCTGCAATTTTGCATCTTACTTTAGCATTTAATGAATGTAATATAACAGCTTTCTTTTCTTGAGGCAAGATAAGATCACTATTTTAAAAATATCGTTGCTTGTAGTGTGCAAATTTTCTCATAACTATCTATGCAGTACATTTTGTTCCTATAGTTTACAAACCTTTTCAGCCTTGAATATAAGATCCTGCTAATTAGGTCAACAGGCCTAATTCTGTTTCATACTTCCCAAGCAGATGCTTTAAAGAAGTTCACAAATATGGACCATAGCAACCCTTCATTATTGCTCCATAATAGCAGCTGGTGTTTGGGCATGCTGCGTGGGATTTTAGGATATGTAGTCCTTGTTAATCCAAGCCTCTACGAATCAATTCTTTTTTGGATAGATGGCCATCATCAGATATAACATCATTAGATATAAGTTTCACAGTACAAAGAACTTATTTTATCACTTCAGAATTCAATTTTTGTAGTAGCAAATGATCTCAAGTCATATAATTCATTAAGTATGTATATTTTTGCCAATGTACATCATTTTGCATTGGCTTAAATTGGACAGCTTTGGCTATTTTGAGAACTGTTCACAATTCTGATTTGATTTTAATAAATGAACAGTGTCATAAATAAAATTAGCCACATTACTAGTTATTCCTAACTAATTATGGACTACCTTTCTCAGTACTGATGCCTTTGAACCTGGCTTTGAACATACCACCAATCTGAAAATTGTATCTGATTTCTGTCCCTTAGCCAGTTTCCATTCCAGGAAATCACCTCTCTTCTAATCCTGTGACTGCTGTTCAAGAGCCCTTGGTAGTATAAATTAGAAATGATACCAAGGTTAAAGAAATCTATATCTCTTGAGAAAAGTGGTGTCTCTTCAAAACCACTTTAAGCTCTCTGAAGAACCATTGTCTAAATTTTTACAGTGCTATCATATGGATATCTGCTGAGAAGTAAGTCTCATTGATTTCATTGCAAATTATCCCTTAAAACAGTTTTTCCAACTATCAACTTAGGCAATTGGGAGTTGTAGTTCTACTTACATGGAGCGCATCAGACTGGAAAAAGCTGTTTTAGGAAGCGTGGATAAATGTGTATCCTAAGATCTGCTTCTACCTCTTGTTAATATTCCTGTTTCTTCACTCCTCCGCACCCAACATTATTACAAGTCTGAAATCACTAATGCTCTTTCCCTTACAGCTATCCTATGCCCTTTTGGCAGTGATGTGTCTTTTCTTTTTAACAAATTAGAAGTACTGGTAGCTAGGCTTATTTAATACCAATAGAGTTACAGAGTTAAACTTTGGAGGCACTACTGAAAAGTCAGATTTCATGTTATAACATCTTTCCCTCCCTCCCTAGTGTGACCTGTGAAAAATAATTGTACGGCAATTCTCTCTTTCTCTGTGTGGTGGTGAAGGAGAAATAGTGGGAAAACACAGGTGGATTATAAATGGATGACAGCATTGTCTGAATATTCTTTCCCAATAAATGTCAGTGGATGAAGCATTATCAATGTCATTTTGAAGTGCTTTCCTATTATGACCTTATACAGAATACGTGTTTCTGCCCAAAATTTGACTTTTCCATTTTGGGTTATAAACAAAGGAGTTTGTTAGCTGTGATATTTCACTTTGGCTATAGAACTATTTCAATTTCTGAGGTGTGATAGCATGCTTCAAAATCTTAGAAAGCCAAGAGGCAAAGGAATTATACAAAGAAGCTGAAATGAAGACATCCAGGAGACTTTTTGAAAGTAAAATATATTTGATTTTTTCAGATCAGCTTGTTCATCATGTCAGTCATTTCAATGCTTTAAATCTTTAAGTTGACAAAAGACTGAAATAGGAAGTGGGTTTACTAAAGTTTCATCTAAAAATACCAGTTGTGAATTTATTTACCTGCTTTGCTTACAAGTTTCGGGAACTGCAAATGTGGTTGTATACGATAAATGTAGGGGAATTTTTTTCTACTGACATCTCAATTTATAAACGCCAGATTTGAAAGTTAGCTTTCAAAGTTAAACGTAAGTTTTGCTATGTACCACTTATATCAGAAGCGAACAGCAGATTTCTGAGAGCAGAAACAATTAAGCCATTACTGTGTTTCATTTGAGTTAATCATTTCAATAGTTGACTAGAAATAAATCTAGGTTTGAATTTTTAAAGAAGCAGCCATACTGTTTTTCAAGCAATGAATTCAAAAGTACATTCCTGTAATTTCAAGTTAGGAAGCATATTGCAGCATAGTCATTTTATAGCAATTTTTTTGCATGTAAAGGGTACAAATCCTATTCCTACTTGTTTGGTAATCTGGGGCTTCTCAATAAACCACTTTCAGATTGCACAGCAAGTGTGAAAGTTTCTGATGTTCATATGCTTTTTTTCTTTAATTCAGAGATTTCTGTGCTTTTAGCTTAAATCAAGATTTTTCTTGTTAGTAACTGGTTGAATTCAAGACACGTGACTTTCATTTTTCCACATGATGGTTAAGGAATAAGTTATTTTCATCTGTTTTTCAGCTAAATTAAATTTAATGACATGATAGATCTACTCAAAACAAAAACAGTTCCTTTATGTTCTTTGTCATTCTGGTTCTTTTAGTAACTTATAAATATTTAAAATCACCCACACATTAGAATTGCAGTGAGTTGAATTAATTTTTGTGGGGTTTGTTTTCAAGAACTAATTGATAGTTAATGAACAATATTTAAAAGTTCTACCTAATCATCTTATAGCCCCCACCCCCGAATAAAATACATTTGTAAAAAATAAGTCACTATGTAGCTTACCTCTATGTCATGATTTATCTTTTCTCCTTGTGTATGATGCAATGTGATATCATTATGCAGGTTTACATCATTATGGAACATTTATTTACTTTTTGGGGTAATATTTTAATAAAATTCTTTTTTTTTTCTCTATGTGGTGCAGGTACCCAGCGTGCTAATGCCCGTGCTCCTGCTCCTTATAAAAGAGACTTTGAAGCCAAGCTGAGGAATTTCTACAGGAAGTTGGAGACTAAAGGATATGGACAAGGCCCAGGGAAATTGAAGTACGTAGATACTGGATAATTTGTTTTGCTATTTAAAAGTAAAAGAGCTTATACAGCACCTGTTGGAAAGATTTTAAGGCAGCTGGTATTTTCCTGAACTTGCATGGCTGGTTTAAGTTGTTCCTGACAAGTGCTGAATGTGCTATGTCTGCTGCCTATCACAATTTGCTTTTGAGTCCAGATCCCTATGTAGCCTTAGTGTCTAATAGAAGCATGTGGTACTTATTGCCATCTAGAATGAAAGGATTCCCATATATATCTATTATAAATAAAACATTTGAAAAGAAGAACATAAATGAAACCAGTATATTGTAATGGTTAACATTTGGGACAGAATGCAGGAAAACTATATGTGCTTCATGTTTGGGATTAATTTAGCTATTAACTCCCATGCATACTGGAGGACTTTTGATATATCTTCTTTAAAACAAAGATCCACTATGGAAAACTGAACTTGGATAAAATAAATTGCAATAACTTAGGATTGCTTAACTTTACTTCCTTCCACTGTTTTATAACCAAAATAATGTTCCATTCCAAGCTGCTCTCCATTAACTCATATTTGTTTGTCTCTTGGCTCTCCTCACAAGTATGTGCTTTAGCTAAAAGGCTAAAGTAAAAAAGTGAGTCTGTGGTGGTCTGACAATTGAAAAATGGGAGACGCAGGGAAACGTCTGAGCAATTGCCAGCCCCGAGAGCACTCGGGTAGCAGTATTTATTAAGAAAATGCAAGTACAAAATCAAAACAATTACCTCAGCAGCATTATCTCAGCCAGGCCTCAGCAAAGATGATAAAGTTCCCGTGAGAATATCCAGGCACCAAAGGTCTCATGGGAATGGCTCGGCTAGGTACTGTGAACCCCCACGCACATTCCTGGTCTCTGAGCTTTGCAGACCCCAACAGGATCAAATCACCCATCATAAAAGCACTACTGCCCCCATGAGGAGCGTTTGTGATACCCCCAGATCTTACAAAGCTGTACGAGGACTTGCAGAATATGATGAATATATTACCACA